AAACGATGTTACACCTTATCTCGAGGTTAACCTCCTATAATTTTTTACTTATTTGTACTTAAAAAATCATTGATATTAATCTAAGCTATGCTAAGTTGAGATGTTAGCTTAGGAGGTTTTATGTTAAGTTATGGTAAACTTAATCGTATAATAAGGTTAGTAGTAGAAGAAAAAGCAGTTTATTATGTAATAGTTGGTTTTGGAGCTATTGATGGTATTGTTACAAGTTACGCTATAAGCTATATTTTAAGCTTGTCGCCTTTTATTGCAGGCTTATCACCCATTACTGTAGGCGGAATAATAAGTGTTGGGTTGTTAAGATCATTATTTATTACATCCTTATTAGCGGACGATTTTGTCTCGTGTCCTGTTGAAAATACTGATCTAGGAAGTACAAGAGTTAATGGTGCAGCTGTGGTTTTCTGATTTTTTGTAACTTAAGCTGAAACATTGACATTAACTATAAATTATGCTAGGGTTAAAGCTATTATTCTAAGGTATAATAATGACAGGTTTTAAAATAATAGGGAAAGCAATGTGGGCAACAGCAATATACCTTCTAATCATTGCTGTACTTGGGGCTACAGGTGGTATTATTGCAAGTTATGTTATAAGCCATATCTCAGGTTTATCGCCTCTTATTGCAAATGGAATAATTTGTATTGGAGCATCGTTACCACTCATTGCATTATCATATTTCATTGTAGGTTCTACAAAATTTTTTCAAAGCCTGGCAGTAGCAATTTCATGTAGTTGTTTAGCATTTTCATTTGGATTTCCATTCATATTAAATTATGCTTTCGACTTTACGTTATCACCTTCAGTTATGGGTGTTTTAACTGCTTTCTACATTGTTGGTGTTTTACATTGTTTACAAAGTAATAATCACATGTATCAATGGGTGAAACAAAAGTGTAAATTAACTGACCACGTGAATTAAAGATGCAGCTAAGGTTTTCTGATTTGTTATCACTTAAAAAAATCATTGATATTAACTATAAGCTATGCTAGGGTTCAAATTATTAACTAGGAGGGTTTATGCCAAATTATGATGTAAGTAAGCACGTTACAAAATTATCAGAAGGAGCAGCAATAGCTGGTTTTGGAGCCATTGATGGTATTGTTACAAGTTATACTATAAGCTATATTTCAAGCTTATCGCCTTTTATTGCAGATTTATCGCCCTTTACTATAGGTGGAATGATAGGTGTTGGGTTATTAACATCGGCATTCATTACATCTGTATTAGTGAAAGATCTTGTTTTAGGTTCTAAAGCATTTTCAAAAAAAATGGCAAGAGCAATTGCATATACTGGTGCTGCATTTGGAATAGGAGCTGGGTTGGTTGCTCTTGATGTTACATCATCTGCAGCTATAGGCGCTACTGTAACTGTTGTGAATATAGGTGCTATTTCTTCTTTATTTGCTTTATTAGAGAGACCACGTGAGTTTAAGCATGCAAGAAGTGAACGCTATTCTGATGATTTATCTAATAGAAATTTAGCTTTTGCT